TATCCAGTCCAATATTGCAAAAAGATATTCAATTATATATGATGTATGTTAAGAATAAATTTAAGAATCTGTTTAATCATTAGTACCAATTTTCAATTGAGCTAAATGTGTATTGCGCATTTTGAATGTTTGATTGTACAAAAACTGTCAAACCGAATTTGAAACTTAACGTACTACAACGGTCAGTTGGCTTTTAAATTTATTATAAACACGACGTTTATTGCAAGCAGAATTGATTGATATTCTTAAAGGTGTTTTAACGATTTGAAATAGCTATATTAAATCCATTGATTTTGTGTAATTATGTTTGACTAATGTGTGTCTCACGCTAAAAATGTTTTCACAGGTAAAACGGGTTCTATATTTTTATAGTTCTTAAAAAAATCAATTACGACATAATTCTTTTCAGTTTGTATCGTCGGCAAAGGTTTCCAAGCAGAGTCCAAACCAACTTTCAATAGATAACATGGAAGAAGAAAAGTACATTTTATCCTTAGCTCCTTTTACACCGTTACCAAAGATTACTTTTGAAAATGTTCTTTTGGGAAGTACTGCTACAAAAACCTTAATTGTTCGAAATCCTGGTTGCCATCAGATCGAGGTATGAATTATTATTATATTTGTTTTATAATTAATATGATTGATTTGAAGATTTTAATGGGAGGTTAAAAATTTTTTGTTTGAAACAATTTCTCTGTTTAGATATGTATTACAAGAGTGCCAACTGATCAAAGAATAGAGCTCACTTGGTATCAGGAAGTTATCGGACCTCAGGAGGATGTTTTATTAGAGATAAGATGGTATCCAGAAAATGAAGGCAGTTCGAGAAATACCATAACCTTTACTGATGGTGGTCGTCTAAAAAAAGATGTTCCAGTAATTTTTAATTGCATCATTGCTAAAAAGGTGAGCAAAAAATCTTAAATCATATTGTTTATTTTTTTTATTTCATACTGTCCGGTGTATTGATGTTTACATCATTAATTTTAGTCTGGTGAGTGAGCTATAACATCAGAAGGCCTGTAAATGTTACTAATCTACTAGAGAATACTAGTAGATTCTGACAAAGTGGAAATATTATGAGATGTTTCTTTTTGTTGTAAAACTTCTACAAATTTTTCAACTCAAATTTTAAATCAATAAAAATTCTTATACATACCTTTGTCAAAAGATATTCTTTGTCAGGTGCATCCTTCAAAAAGCGTATTATTTCTTCCCTGATGAGTACTTTTGACTGTTTTGGTTTGTATTCAATATTACTTTTCTTCAAAAACGCAGTTAGCTTATTAAATTTACTTATGTTTATATCCTCTTTAACAAGTAGCATCAATTTTACCATGAAATATTTGGCCCATAATGACCACTACTACTGTTTTTCGACCACAAATCAAATTTATTTAAAAATAATGATAATAATTTTTATTGCTCAATAAAAGTTGTCGCGGTACGTCGAAAAAATACAATACAATCTTAAGTAAGTTATTTACTATACATCAGCTAAGATTAAACGCATTTCAAAACACAAAGAGACACAAGTTATGGAACAGACAGCTTAGCAGTTTTGCCTTGTGTTGTTTGATTTGCGTTGGGTAACGCTTAAACGATGTAAAGGTATTTCTAGAGTTTTCCTATTTGTAGTATTATAATAAATTGTGATTATTAATTGTGAGTTCATTCAACCTACTTTACTTCGGTTTTTATGGACATATTTTACACAATTGAACACATAAAGACTGGATAACGTCAAACTTTTTAATTATTTAAATGCGGGTTTGCAATATTCACCTGGTTTTAAATTCTCCAAAGCACGAACACAAAGTTTCTGCAGTATAAACACTCAGGTTGCTGCAGATAATGATCCCCACATAGCGAGTTCATATGTCGCAATACCTTAAAAACAGGCATTCCTTGCCGCTTCCTGGCCGGTACTTAACGTCAACAAGTTTTGAATATGACTACACCATTTCAATGTTGAATCCAGATTCATTCCAAGGAACTTACTATTCTTGTTGAAGAAACTCAACATCTGCGTTTTGTTCTTATTTATATTTAATCCATTTGATAACATCCATTCCTCAGAGTCGTCAACAACACTGTCAAGCTTGGCACTGACTCGATCGTGGGTACTTCCCCTTGCAACAAACGTTGTATCATCCGCGTAGAGAATCGTTGTGACATCGTCAACACAAAAAGGTAGATCATTTATATCTACAACAAACAGTGTAAGTCCCAGAATGAAACCCTGTGGTATTCCATATTTACAGGTCTACATGTTGGATTTTGTTTCAGACCAGCTTTCAAACGAGCGTTTCTTGTTTCAGAACAACCTGTTTTTGGTTTGAAAGGTATGAAGCCAATAGAGCATGTGGTAAACGTGTTACGCCATAAAAATATAGTTTGCGCATTAGTATACAGTGGTTAACAGTATTGAAAGCACGACTTAAGTCGCAGCTGGCTGTTTTAATCGTTTCATTGTTATCATGTTTCTCAACTAATTCTTGTACCAGGTTAATAATTGCAGTAGTTGTTTATCTACCACTTCTGTAACCATGCTGAACTGTTATGCAGAATCAGTTTATCTTCAAGATAGTTTACCAAACGCTTATGTATCAATTCTTCTAGTATTTTGGAGAAAACAGGTAGAACCGATATAGTCCTAAAGTTTTCATGTTTTATTTCGTTCCTTTTGTGTATTTGAACCACTTTTCCAATTTTTAATTTATTCAGAAATACGCCGTCCTCAATACATTTTTTAAATACTAGAGCTAAAACCTCAGATATTTCCTCACCCACTTCTTTTATTAAACGAGCTGTAAGGCCAAAAAAATCTACGGTTTTTTTTATTTTTCATTTTCTTTATAATTTTTTGTATTTCAATTGCATTTGTTTTGTTAAAATAGCATGAGTTAACTTGTTTTTATGTTGTTTAAATACTCATCAGGTTGCTTTGTAGTTTGTGGCATATTTGAAAGAAGTTTTTCTACTTCATGCATTTAATTCCATTCTATCATGATTATTCGTCGTCTTCTTATTAATTATTGACCATATTGCTTTTTGTTTGTCAGCTTCTTCTATCATTATGATGTTAGGCGACTTTTTCTCCTGTTCTATAAGTAAGATGTATTATTGTTTATAATTTTTATATATTGTATATGAGTGAGAATCTTTACTATGTGACGCTATCATTCCTAAAACATCAAAATAATTTTCTTTGTAAGTCTTTTGATAGTTTATCAGAAATTTTCTTTCTTTCTCTTATATGTTTGGTTTTGTTGGGCAAAGCTTTGTTATATAGCCTTTCAAATTCATTATGAAAAGCATTCTTTAAGCATTCTTCAGCCCCTTCATTACGAGTATACATTCCTAGTTTACGTTCTTAATATCTGATTTAAACAGGTCGATGGTGCTTTTCGTGTATTTCTCTATACGTTATAATTTTCATTTTTAACTTACTATCCGGGCTCTGTTCTTTTATTTCCAGGGAAAGTTGTATGTATGAAAATTTAATACATCTCCAAGACTTTCTATAAATACAGTAAAGTTTACCCTATACAACGAAACTATAATAAGCCGCCTGTGAAATCATTATACAAAGACAATGATTACATTAAGAAACTTACTGCGTCCAAAAAATATGCCAGCATAACGTCTTATTCTACTTTTTGTACACCATTGTGCCTTTTCCAGTGGCAAAACTGTTGATACTCCTTTTCATACCTGTTTGCCGACTTCGTAGGAACCAATTTTCAAATCGCTTCAGCAGAAAAAAATTTTACTTAATTTTCATAAAATATAATGTTATTTTTAACTTTTGAAATCAGTAAATGTTTTACACCGTAACTGTTGTTTAACCGGACTAGACAGTATGAAATAAAATGTTATATGATGCATGTCTGGTATGTCTTGCTTGTAACAGTACGAGTCAGACGAGTATCTAGGCGAGTTGTTAGAAGTCACCTACCGGACTTATAACGTAAATGATTATTGTTTTTTTTAGTTTAAAAGTTTTTTAGCAATTATCACTATGTTTTTTATCAGTTATAAATGCTGTGAACTCATAGATATTGCTTAGCCAAACATTACCAACGTGTTGTATGGAACAAAACTGTAAAAAAAGTTCCTATAAATATGTATCTAAAAATGCTTCCTAAAGGTACTCGCGAATTTAAAAATTAATAAAAGCTAATAATTGGTTTAGTTCAACCATTCATTCGAGTTAATTAAGTTCGTTGTTGACGAATTAGATATTATTCTCTTCTTAACAAATAATTGTCATACAAAAACAGCGTTACATTTTGAAAACTAGATATGAATTTTACTAACGAAGAAATGGCACACATATATTTCATGTATGGCCAAGTAAATAGAGTAACAGTAATTTGGCCGACGGCTTTGCGCCGAAACATTTCCGAATCAAAGATGTCCAGCTAAACGGATTTTTGCGGTAATCCATCAACGTCTTCGCGAAACAGCATATTTTAAACAGAATATTTCAGATTGTTTGATTCTAAGAAGCACCAGAATACATGATGTGAAATTTGTTTTTTTGTTTTAAAATTTGTGAAGCATTTCTAGACACATGTTTATAAAAACTTTTTTACAGTTTTGTTCGATACAAATCGTTGGTGAAGTTTGGTCAAGCAATTTAGAGACACCATATATATTTTATTGCATAAACTAATATTAAAAAATAAATTTGAATTAAATATTGAATAATGATTTTGTACATAATTTTCAGAAACTAAAGAAGATTGTTAAAGTAAAAGTTAAACCAAAACCGGCGGTTATTTCAACAAAAATAAGATCCCCATTACGCAGACATTTTTCTCCTACAAAAAAATCACCAACAAAAAAGTTTTTATCCCCCACAATACTTCGAAAACCACTACCAGATATAACTAATCAACTCTATGCAACATCTCCATTCTTCGATGTAACTCCAGCAACAAGTTCGCAAGGTTCCTCAACAAACCGTACATACACAGCAAGAGAAAACAAAGAAAACGTTTTTGAATCGGCTCCTTCAACTATAACATCATCGTCTAACAAAAGCTGTATGAAGAATCCAAATATTACTTTTGGTTTGTCCGACTCTCAATTGAAATCACCTTTGAAGAACGTAAGACAGGAATTTAATGATAGTTTAGAAAATGTGTTAAATGTTTCTGAAACTATCGAAGAAAAATTAAACAGAATGGCAATGACGCCAAATTTTAAAATTCCACAAATTATTGTTCCACAATATAATTTAGAAAATAGTGTTAATTGCAACACAAAATTTAACATTAGTTCTAGTACCCAAATTAAAGATGCAACCATTGATATTTCACCCAAAAATTCGATGACAAACTGTACTATATCTCCAATCAAAATGTTTGAAAATCATAGCGAAACATTCGAAATTAGTTATTCTAATAAACATAAACCTGGTTTAGGATTAATTGTTGAAGAAACTTCGAAAGAATGTTATTCCGCAAAAACTTTTACAAGCAATACAACTTCGAAAGCAATCAACAAAAATAACGAAACAAAACCTGTTGAATTAAAATCAAAATTTACCAAAACGACCTCTTTGAATTTAAAATCATTTTTCGAAAAAACCAACGTTCAACTTGAAACTTCAACATTCAAAGTCCCTAAAGATGAAGTAACCGGTAAAATATATAATTCTTCGAAATTATTTCGCGTAGACAATCCTTTACTATTAACAGCAACGAAAGACATTGACCCATTTATGTCAAGTTCGCTTTATTTTGATACTAAATGGGTGGATGAACAAGAAAAAGGATTCAAAAAATGGTTAAACGCCCTTGTGACTCCTCCAAGTGAATTAAATTCAGATGTTAATATTAAAATTGATGTTTCAAAACTTTGGAAAGATTGTGCTAAGCGTGAAGTAAATAAAGCTCCAACCAAAGAAGTTGTTTCAAATAAATATCATGTGAATAGTCGATTAGAATCTTTAAGAAGATCTGCTGGAAATTTATTTACATCACCAGATATCAATGAAGTTTTATGTAACGTTTATGCAAAAATCGAAACTGAACGGTTACAAATAAGAACTGACAGAGATATTCATTTGGATATAAGTCTACAAGCCGAAATAATGATTTTATTTGTCAGTTATAACCCGTTATGGTTAAGAATTGGATTAGAAACAATTTATAACGTAAGAATTCCGTTACATTCGAATTCTGATATTATGGGATTATCCGTTTTTATTTCACAACATTATTTTAAAGATTCTTATTTATTAAAAAAATATAAAACTCCTCATTCTCCAAAATATAGTATCGAATTAAAAAAACTAGTGCTCAAAAAATTTTTATCTTTGGTTTATTTTCTGGATCAAGCAAAACAAAAACAATTAATTCCACATGATCCTTGTTTATTTTCAAAAAATGCGCCGTTCAAAGAAAGTCGTGAGATCGTTTTAAAATTTTCGAGAGATCTTGTATCTGGCATTGGGGATATCACAAAATATTTAAAACAATTTGGTTATGTCTTGAATCATAAACAAACTTACATTCACGAATTTGACTATGCCGTTACGGATTTAGGCGTTGATTTAAGAGATGGCGTACGATTAACTAAAGTTATGGAAATTATTTTGTTAAGGGATAATTTGTTGGAAAATATGAGGGTTCCCGCGATTTCTCGATTACAAAAGATTCATAATGTTAAAATTGCTTTTGAAGCGCTAACCGAAGCAAATTTTATAATTTTGCACGATATTCAACCCAAAGATATCGTGGATGGTCATAAAGAAAAAACTTTATCGTTTTTATGGCAAATTATTTATAAATTTGAAGCCCCCAGGCTTAAAAAGGCCGCTTTAACAATACAAAGATGGTGGAAAAGCTTATTTATAACTATTAAGAGGAGATATTTAGTAAGGTTGAGACAAAAAAGGATTGAAGCAGCTATTAAAATACAAATTTGGTTTAGAAGGATTCGTTTAGCTAAAATTTATGAGAATTTAATTCCAATTGTTAAAGAAATAATGGTTCAACGTCGAATAAAAATTGCAGCAAACAAAATTAAATCTTTCTTTCAAATGGTTATAACTCGAAAAAGATATTTGTGTTTAAAATCAAAAATTATTGCAATCCAAGCTTATTCGAGGCGATTTTTAATATTAAGAGATCTTGAAAGAAAACGAAAAGCAATTATAAAGATTCAATCATTTTGTAAAATGTATATACAACGAAAAGAGTTTAAAGCATTGAAATCGACGGTTTTAAAAATAGAAAATATTTATGTCGCAAAGAAATTAATGAGAGATGAAAGAAGAAAATATTTAGAATTAAAATTAACTGTTGTTGCGATTGAAGAAAAATATATCGCAAATAAAGCTATGCGAGCTCAAAGAGAATATTATTTAAACTTGATACATTCAATATTGTTGGTTCAACAAAGATTTCGCGCCAATAAGCTAATGTTGGAGAATCGTAATCGGTTTTTAACGCTTAAAAAAGCTGCAATTACGATTCAAAGTTATTATAGGGCGAATAAATTGATGAAATTGACACGAAACGAATATTTGGAGAGATTGGGTGTAGTGAAAAAATCTGTGAAATGTATCGAAGAAAAATATTTAGCGAAAAAATTAATGATTCAAACTAGATATCAGTACAAAATATTAAAAAATGCCACCATTTTGATACAAAGAAAGTTCCGTGCAAATCAATTAATGAAAAAACATCAAACCGAATACAACGACTTTAAAAATAAAGTGATTAAGATTCAACGTTGGTTTAAAAATCAAATTTTATTAAAAATCAAAAGAGATAATTATAAAAAATTAATTAATGCCGCAATTGTAATTCAAACTAAATACAGAGCGAAATTAGCGATGAGAAATGAAGTTGAAACGTTTAATCGGTTAAAAACAGCTACAATTTTCATTCAAAATCGATTTAGAGGGAAACAAGAACGGAAGAAGTTTAAAAAAATTAAAGGAAGTGCCATAAAAATACAACTTTGGTTTAGATCTTTAAAGAAAATGTGGGAAGAAAGGAATTACTATCGCAAATTAATTATTTGTAGTAATATGATACAAAGAAAATATAAAGCCAAATTAGCTATGAAACAACAACTTGAAGCTTATAATAGATTAAAAACAGCAACAATTTTGATTCAAAGCCGATTTAGAGGGAATCAAGAACGAAAAAAGATTAAAAAGCTTAAGGAAAGTGCCATAAAACTACAACTTTGGTTTAGATCTTTAAAGAAAATGCGAGAAGAAAGGAATTATTATCGCAAATTAATTATTGCTGCTAATGTGATTCAAAGAAAATATAAAGCTAAATTAGCTATGAAACAACAACTTGAAGCTTATAATAGATTAAAAACATCAACAATTTTGATTCAAAGCCGATTTAGAGGGAATCAAGAACGAAAAGAGTTTAAAAAGCTTAAAGGAAGTGCCATAAAAATACAACTTTGGTTTAGATCTTTAAAGAAAATGCGGGAGGAAAGGAATTATTATCACAAATTAATTATTTCTACTAATATGATTCAAAGAAAATATAAAGCTAAATTAGCTATGAAACAACAACTTGAAGCTTATAATAGATTAAAAACAGCAACCATTTTGATTCAAAGCCGATTTAGAGGGAATCAAGAAAGAAACAAGTTCAAAAAGGTTAAAGAAAGTGCCATAAAAATACAACTTTGTTTTAGATCTTTAAAGAAAATGCGGGAAGAAAGGAATTATTATCGTAAATTAATTACTTCTGCTAATGTGATTCAAAGAAAATATAAAGCTAAATTATTAATGAAACAACAACTACAAGAATATAAAACTTTAAGATTATCCACTATTAAAATACAACGATGGTACAGAGCTTCTTTCCTAATGAAAATCGAAAGGAATCGTTATTTAAAACTTAAACAAGCGGTAAATTCAATTGAAACTCGTTATAAGGCTAATTTAGAAATGAGACAACAAAAAATTAAATACCAACATTTGAAATTAACGGTAATTTTAGTTCAAAGAAAAATTCGGGCAAATAAGGCAATGTTACAATGTAAACATGATTTTAATAATCTTAAGAATGCCTCAATTTGCGTACAAAAACATTGGAGAATGCTCCAATTAATGCGTTCCGTTCGACACGATTTTATTAAATTAAAAAATACGACGATTTTTATCCAAAAGAAATACAGGGCAAAAAAATTAATGGTCCATTCTAGAATGGAGTATCAAAAATTAAAACAAACCACGATTATGATTCAAAATAAGTTTAGGGCTAATAAATTGATGAAAAAACAACAATTTTCTTTTAAACGGTTAAAAGAAGCTGCAATTTTCATTCAAAGAAAATTTCGAGCTAATTTATTAATGAAAAAGCAGCGAAACGATTTTTTGGTTTTAAAACGAGCTGTTTGTATTATAAAAGATCGATATATGGCTAAAAAATTAATGGTAAAAGAAATTCGAAGATTGATGATTGTAAAAATGGCTGTAAAATGTATTCAAGATCGGCTTAGAGCTACGGTGTTGATGAGACAAAAAGTAAAAGAATTTGAAATGATGAAAGAAAGTGCTAAAGTGATACAGAAAGCATTTAGAGGGCGGAGGAAAATGAAAATAGAGAGAGAAAAGTTTTTGAGAGTGTGTCATGCTTGCATTGTGATTCAAAGGGCGTATAGAAGTTTTGTAGAAAGAAAGAATCTTAATGTTTTGATAATTTCGTTACAAGCTCGTGTAAGGGGATTTTTATTTAGGCAGAGATTCCTAGACGAATTTAGTCCTGAAAAGATCGCTGAAAGAAGGAGGAAACTTTTGGAGGAAAAATCTGCTATTAAGATACAGGTAAGGGTTTTTTTTGTTTATACATTTTTATTGTCATACTTTTACCACTTCTTCATAAATCCAGCTATTAACCAATGATAGATTATTAGATTATCCCTAAAGCCGGGTTTTTATTAGTAGAATTAGTAGTAGAGTATATTGGGTTGGGCTACATATCTTGTGAACTGGCCTGATAAAAACGTAAGTTGTAGAATACAGCAATTAGTTGTAGTAGAGTAGAGTGGTATATGCCCATGGTAAAGTTACTCTACCACTTGTCGCCCCCTTAAAAGTATGGTAGTTACTCTAGCATTAATTCTAATAATGAAAACTCGGCATTAAACAGTTTATCAAGAGGATGGTAAAAGTGGTCCTTTTACTTAAAAAAAATACAATGTTTTTAAAAAGATGTTCTTATTTTTTAAGCAAATTTTGATGAAATATTCCACAACAAAGCACTTTTTTTGGAATAATTTATATATTTTTTTCAAATAGAAAATAACATCACTATTTATATCTGTAACAAATTTCAGGAATATTGGTCGAATAGTTTTTGAGATGTTGTGTCCAAGAGTTGTAGAAACGTTGTTTTAAGAAGTTGCGTTCCAATGACTTGCTTGGTAGTCTGCAAATCCAGTACCATACAATAAACCTTCCTTTTCTTCATAAAATGAACTTTCCATCGGCAGTTGTTCTTTCCGTGCTTTCTGTGTTTTCTTTTTTTATTTCATTCGCTGGCTAAAATCCTTGTTAATTTTGTTACCTTGAGATTGCTTGTCTTTTTTGCAAACTTTGGCCAAATGGTTGCGTCCTTGAAAATTTGCACATATCTTGCCGAATGCTGAACATTTCCTTGGTGCATGTTGGAATCCACAAAATTTATATTCTATTTTGTTTATTTCCATCGAAGGATTTAAGACTTGTGCGTGATATATTTCCTAACTCTACAGGGTAATTCAAATTCTATCCCCACCATTGAGATCTCAGAAACCATAAGAGATACAAAAATGGGGGCAAAGTTGCGTATCTTACAGGTCAGCATTTTTCAACTCAGATTTTGGATCTAGTCGTTTTAGTTTTTAAAATATGGCCGAAAAATAAAAAAATTACTTTTTCGTTTTTTGCCTATAACTCCTTTATTTTTCGTTTTTTCATGAATCTGACAAAACAGTCTTAAGGCAACTTTTTATGAAAAATGTCATGACACTAGGAACTAGAAATTTTCTCCGACGTTTGGTTTTCATGAAACTATCATCAGGTTTATTCTTTTTTTTGAATAATTCAATGTTTTTTTTAATGAAATACATTGTGTGACATATCATTGAAATCAGAATTAATTATCCTATTCTTTGGTGTGAAAATCAAATATGGCGTTCATAAGAAAAAATAAACTTGATAGTTTCACGAAAACGAAACGTTGGAGAAAATTTGTAGTTGTGTCATGACGAAAAAGATGATGATGAAAGAATGATGAAAAAACGAAAAAGTCATTTTTTTGTTTTTCGCCCATATTTTAAAAACTAACACGGCTAGATTCAAAAACTTAGTTGAGAAATGATGAGCTCTAAGATACGCAACTTTGGCCTCATTTAACCATTTCTGTATCTCTTATGGTTTTTGAGATTAAAATGGTGGGGGTCGATCATCCTATTTTCATATGACTGATTCATTACATTTTTCATTAACACACTTGAATTAACAAAGGGCGGCTTGTGTGAACGAAGCTTTATTATATATGAATCTATTCCTTGATCCTTCTTTTGGTGCAAATTATGAAATTTGAACGTTTCTACTACTAAGTTCTTTTTTGGAATAAAATATTCTTCAAATTTTAACAAGTGTTAACACACTTGTTAGACTCCCTTCTTCATCTTTCTTGAACGAATTATATATTCTGAGGCCCCCATCACCAATCATGTTTAGTAAAATGGTTATTTTTACCTGTTCTTCTTTTATTTTATCTTTTTGTGAAGCTAACATGTAGATATTAAATTTTTGTTTCCAATTACCTAACATTCCTTAGCTGTAAACTAAACTAACCTTACACAATATATGTTTCAATTAATTTTTTATTAATTTTCTTTATGTCCAGTCGGGCGATTTTTGCCTACTTATTTACTAGTTTTTAGGGCGTAATTCAGCATAGTGCATATTTATTCTGGCATTTTCTAAAATTTTCAAAATGTCCACAGAGAAGCTGCTGAATATTATTCTGATTTTTCCAAAAAATAGGCAAGGAGAATATCTTTGGAACATTTGCTTGTGATTTTCTTAGTTTGAGACTAGTCCATAACATTTCTGCATTCTTTTTCATACTTGTCCCGCGATTTTGATGGAAAAAGAGTTTTTGGCTGCTTGAGCTATTTCTTCTGAAACGACCACTTCTCCTTCGTCGTCAACAGAAAATATCTCTGTTATTAAAATTTTTCTAGAATACCGAGAGGCCTATATAGTCAATATAGCCAATATTAGTCAGTTTTCTTATTACATCATCTGTCAATTTTCCTTTCCTTCCATGTTTGTCTTTCTCTTATGCTTCAGACTCGAGAGCCCCTTCTCTTTTCAACATGTGCAATACATTCATTTTTGCTGCCATCCCTTTTCAAGTCCATTCCAAGATACACGAATTGCAACACCATCTCTATGTTATCATCCGTGACATCTCCCACGACTCTGTCTAGTCTGCAACATTATTTTCATTTTCTCTATATTTGTTCTCAGCCCCACCAACTTCACCACGTCCTTTATTTGTCTGTAGGTTTCTTTGGTATTCATTCTTGTTCGGCTTAAGATGTTAAGTACACATAGGCCACCAGCTGTATTGAAATGTTTATTACTAGACTTAATCTTCCTATTTTCGTTTTCACATGTTCTTATGAATCTGTTTTGTTGGCACCAGTCTAAAAGATTTTTAGCAATACATATTACAAAATATTTAGATGAGTCTTACACATATAACAATTATTAACATATGAGTTACTCCAGAGAGATTTTTTATTTATTTATGACAGACTTGACATTATTAATAATAAACATTATTTTTTTTTAAGGCTTATTATCGCGGTTATTCAATAAGAAAACGAAATAAGAAGTTAGCTCCAACCAGAGAAAAACTAAGATCAGTTTCTTCTTTATGGAAAGCACAAAACACAATATCAACAAGAAAAGAAAGAGCCCTTTTGGTTCTAGCTCAAGTGGAAAGTTGTACTACATCCGAATTAAATCGAGCGCTTAAAGTTTTAGGTAAGTTAAAAAGTACTGCGACTGTTATAAATGAAATGTTAAATTAATTGGTTACTATATGTTTGTAATAAATTGCTTTTACTCTTGTTTATAGATTATGTCAGCAGAATGTCAAAAGAAGACTGTATAGAATTAAGTAAAGCCATCCCCGATTATCTATACGATAGTATATCAGTAACAACGCGATCTGAACCGGAAAGAGAAACAATAACTCTTAGCACAAGTATTTTAATAAATTTTTGGAAAATTGAAGAATCAAGAGAGCAGTCTTGGAATGCGGACTATATAGATATAATAATAACAAAAATGACACATTGGTGTGATAAAGACCATTCGTTATTTGTTTACCTTTGTACATTATTATGGCTTTTCGCTCATAGTAACAAATATAAAAGAATTATTAAATCAACGGCTCATTGTCAACGAAAACTATACAAAATTAAAACGGCTTGTGAACGTAAGCAACGTATGATGTTAAGGGCCAACACTCGAGCTGTTGTTTCATATTTTGGCCCATATAATGGATTCCCATTGCCATCATTAGAACCAGACTGGGGTATAAATTACGAAGCAAGACCGAAATTTTTCAAAAATGCAATGCATGCTATAGAGAGTCTTATTAATAAATTAGATTTTTAATTAAAACGTTTACTATTATGTACATCGATGCAATTATGTTTTAAGTATCTTGTATATTGGTGTTTAGTGTACAGAATATTTTAACACTTAAATTTCATCAGAACTTTGCCGGCGAACAATGTTGTTAGTGTTTAAGTAAGTTAAAAATGTCTTTGATGATTGTTTATGTATTTTATTTTAATAATTAAAGTATAAATTGCTATTGTATTTACGGTTCGTTTTGGAAGCACATGAATAAATTATTATTTTTCTTTACGTTTTATATTTTCTTTTGCTATGGTTCTATAGTTTCAGAGCTTTCAAAGCGTTGTAATAGCCTCAAACTGTTACCTGCAACTACAAGAAGTATATAATGGTGCTTTAAACTAGGCTTGTAACCAATGTTTGCATTTGCTTTCGCCAATATCAAGCTTTCGCATTCGCAACTTTTAATGCGAAAGATTTGGTGAGATATACAAATTCACACATGTTCATGCGACTAAGAGATGCCACCGTCCGAACGATCGTGTTAAGTATGTAGTAGAGATTCGAGAGATACCAGGACTATACAGTTCGTGCTTACTGCTAGTTTACGAATTTGTATTTAGTATTTTGAGTGTTTTCTATTGCTTCTATACGTTTGGAGATTAATTGTACGACAATTTGATCAAATTGTGATAAAGATGAGATCAAGGTCGAGTGGTATATCGAACTACTTTAATGAAAAAGCTGATGAACAAGCAAAATCAAATAACGGTATCGAAAACGCTTCAGTTAAGACAATTTTAGGATTCGTCTGATAAAAAATGATGATTGTTGGTCAAAATGTATCCTTTAATTTTGTGGAAGGTGTCTTTTTGAAACGTTTACTGCAGGCAACGTCACCCAAATATAAATTAAGAGGTAAAATGGTGTTTAAAGTGAAACAATCGCTTAACGAACTTGAAAAGCTAACATTCACTACAGATATTTGGTATGATCCCAGTGCAGGCGTTTCACTTCTAAGCCTAACAGACTTAACTTATGGAATAACAGACGATTTAAAAAAAGTTAATATGGTTTTAAAATGTGAACCAATTCACGGCAGTCACACAGATCATGTCATATTTGAAAAACTAAGCTTAATGCTTAAAGAGTGGAACATAAGTGAAAAGGAAAGGTTCACTGTTTTATTCACGATAGAGGATCAAACATGATTGATCCATTTTTAGTTGTTTATTCTGAAGTGTAGTACATTATGATCAATAAATATTATTATTATTATTATTAGTGCTATAAACCTGTCTCACTTTGGTCATGCTAATTACTCAATTCACCAACTTCAATTATGCATCAAATCAGGTTTATTCGAAAATTAAGACCGTAAAAATCGTTGAAAAATACAAAAAATTGAAACCAATTTTAATTATTCCACACGAAAGACTATCTATATAAAATTTAAAGACTTGGCCAATCTGTCCATCAATTATTCAAGACTGTCCAACAAGGTTCCACTGGTTTTTTGTTTTTTTAATCATTAAACGATTTTTATTAGTTATTAATTAGTTAGAATTAGTGATGGAACGGATAATGATTTTGTCAAAAGCCGAATACCGGATATATTTTGCTATTATGGTTATAATTTCTGGTGCATTTCTGAAGTGATACCCTATATTAAGAAATTAATAAGAAAGTTGGTAAGATATGTCAACTTATTTGGATCCAAGATACTAAATGAACTTTTTTGATGCTGTTTTAACTAACAAAGCAAAAAAGAGGATACTTTAATTAATAATTGGTGATATGTCCACAAGGATCCTTCAAGACATGAATTTTATCGCGAATTTTGCAAGTTATCGATGAAAATTGCGACATCGAAAATTTTATCAAAACTTCAAATATTGTTTTCTCAAAAACTAAAAGCTATTTTTCAAAACGGGTTGGTTCATTGGAAAGAAGACATTTTTATTTACACTTTGCGAAATTTTCATACTCATATTCCAAGAACTGGATTTTATACGAATTTTTAAAACTTAATCGGCGAAAATTGCAAAATTCGAGAAAACTGTCGATTACTTCAAAAATTTATTTCTCAAGAACTAAAAGTGATTTTTCAAAACGGCTTTTTGCATTAAAAAGAGGATTCTTTAATTAATAATTGGTGATATTTCCACAAGAGTCCTTCAAGAAATGAATTTTATAGCGAATTTTGAAAGTTATGGATAAAAATTGCAACAGTGAAAATTTTATCAAAACTTCAAATATTGTTTCCTCAAAAACTAAAAGCTATTTTTCAAAACATGTTGGTTCATTGGAAAGAAGACACTTTATTAACACTTTGGGAAATTATCAAACTCATATTCCAAGAAATGGATTTTATACGAATTTTTAAAACTTAATCGGCGAAAATTGCAAAATTCCAAAAAATTATCGATCATTTCAAAAATTTATTTCTCAAGAAGTGAAAGTGATTTTTCAAAACGGCTTTTTGCATTAAAAAGAGGATACTTTAATTAATAATTGGTGATATTTCCACAAGAGTCCTTCAAGAAATGAATTTTATAGCGAATTTTGAAAGTTATGGATGAAAATTGCAACAGTGAAAATTTTATCAAAACTTCAAATATTGTTTTCTCAAAAACTAAAAGTTATCTTTCAAAACGTGTTGGTTCATTGGAAAGAGGACATTCTTATTAACACTTTGGGAAATTTTCAAACTCATATTCCAAGAAATGCATTTTACACGAATTTTTAAAACTTAATCGGCGAAAATTGCAAAATTTGAAAAAATTGTCGATCATTTCAAAAATTTATTTCTCAAGAACTAAAAGTGATTGTTCAAAACGGCTTTTTGCATTAAAAAGAGGATACTTTAATTAATAATGGGTGGTATTTCCACAAGGATCCTTCAAGAAATGAATTTTATAGCGAATTTTGAAAGTTATCGATGAAAATTGCAACATCGAAAATTTTATCAAAACTTCAAATATTGTTTTCTCAAAAACTAAAAGTTATTTTTCAAAACGTGTTGGTTCATTGGAAGAGGACTTTCTTATTACCACTTTGGGAAATTTTCAAACTCATATTTCAAGAAATGATTTTAAAAAATGACCGGATAGTTGCCGGATACTACCTACATCGGAAATCCTGTAACCAGGATGGAAGCAGCAAATGAGGATCAAGAGCAGATTTGAAGAATAAGAAATGACAATAGCTGCTTTAGCAATAATTGAGATTAAACACTCAAGAACCGAGTTTTTTTAATTTTATCATTTTATACATTTGCCATCTATTAAGTAGTTGCTGAACTATTGTAGAAACACTGAATTAGAAGTGTTTTAGTAAATTAAACTTCTAATAACAATAAATCATTTAATTTCGATCATATTCTTATTTATTTTATTTAAAACTTACTTTTTCAAACTATAATAAATCATTTACAAACTGTTAAACATTTAATTTTACCGCTACTTATGTTACCCAAGAAGCACAATAGATTTCAAATCTTCGTGTAACGGTCATCTCAGTGTAGTTGGTGTAGTTCAACCGATCTGAAGCGGCATCATAGCTTTAAGAACTTTAATTTAGTATTTTCATATTAAAATGGGTGATTTTCAAGATTTCTTAAAATACGTGACGGATTTTGCAATTAGTTTAAGAGATAACACTTTGGAGGATGAAATCAATGAATATTTTTGCAGAAAAGAAAAGGAACTCGATGCTTTTATAAATAGTGGTTCATTTCCAGTGCAGGCGATTAAGGTTAAAAAAGAACGAATCACTCATGTAACAAAAGTACTTAATGGTCAACCTAATGACGAGGATTTTAAAGAAAATAGGGTGGATTTGAAAAAAGAACAATCAACTCGGACTACACGATCTAAAGCCCTGAAAGATGTTCAAAACAATATTAGTATTAAAGTGGACAAAATTAAAGAAGAAAGGTTATCTGATGTGGAAATTGCTTCAATGCCTCCTCCGCAACAACCGGTTCGTAAAGGAAAAACAAAAAAGGCTCCTATCATTAAAGTACAATCAGAGAGGGAATCAGATGTCCTAATTCAATTACCACATATTAGCATTATTTGTTTAACTGATAGTGATGATGAGCATGAAAAATTACAGGAACCTGTAAGAACTACTCGCACAAAAACAAGAGCTTTGGCTAAAAAGGAAATGAATTCAGATGAAATAATTATTACAAACACTGTAGAAGAGCCAAAAGAGGAAGATCTAAAGAAAACGGCCACAAAGAAGAAAAAATCTATTGAAAAACCTGAAACAACAAATAAATCATTTTGTGCAGAAGAATTAGTAAGGGAAGCAGCTTCAAATCATGTTGAAGAGACATCTGTTAGAAGTACACGTACAAAAACTCGTGCAATGACAGCAAAAGCATCCAAAATAGAACACACAAATGCTCATGAAATATCTGAAAGACCTCAAAGTCCTTCAGGAATTACCAATGACAATAATATTAAGCAAGTAATTGAAAATAATGTTGTAAATGAAACATATATAAAACCTCAGGAAACACCTGTTTCAGTTGTGAATGCCACATATGTAAAATCTCCAGAACAACCTGTACCAAGTGCAAACGAAACAGTGGTAATTCCAAAAGGACAAAGAATGTTAGTTACAACTCCATTAAATAAACAAGTACATGTAGATGAATTATTAACAGATGATGAAGATGATAGACCCAATATATACATGAAATCAAAAGGTACTACTACTAAAAAACCTATATTTAGTCAATACGGAACAAGTCCTGTTAAAAAACGAGTTGAAGCTTTTGAAAAATTGGGTGCAGGACAAACACAGACAACAACGAAAAAAAAATTAAAAGAAAACTCAATAAAACCATCACATTCTATTAAATCAAAACAAATTACACCTCTTAAAAGTGGTATACCAACTTACACAAACACTCCTTTAAGTTCTTCCAAAATGCAGTCTGCTTCAAAATCAACTTTGAAGAAAATTTTACCTCCAAAAACAATCAGCGCTCTAAAAACATCTCAACAGGAATATATAGAGAGAGAGGCGAGACGTCGAGCAAAAGAACAAGAAGCATTACGTAAAAAAGAAGCGTTATTACAAGCGAAACAACAAGAAATTAAACGTAAAAATGAAGAGAAACAATTAAAAGCTCAATTGAAACGCGCTGAAGAAGTGGATAAGATTCCGCATCCACACAAACTAGCAAAAATGGATTTACTGAATAAAGTACCACAAAAGAAAAAAGTGCGACCAATTTATATGGATATGACAGCGCCGTTGTTGCCGCTGGATGATTGCTTTGATAGTGACGATGAAAGACAAGGAAGCTATGAACGTCCCGATTGGACACGAACACGACAATTACTCCCTTCTTTAATGCGTGTTACTTATGCTGGAATGGATTTTACAAACACATTTTTTATGCGAAAAGCTACCACTCCGAATTTAGAAGATCTTTTTGGTCCAATGAATAAGAAAAAGTTACAACGCACATCTAGTGCTGTTTGGACCAAACCGCCAAGATTTACACTTATTCCAATACCACAACAAGATGAAGAAGAGGAGGAGGATATTTAAAAATTAAATTTATTTCTATTTTATTTGTTTTAAAAAATATTTGTTGTATGTATTTGCCATAATTAGCTTTGTAAATCAGCTTATTTTATATGTATTTTTTTTAAATATATTTAGTTGTTCAACTCAAATGGTTTTGTATTTTATTTTTTATTGAGTATGTTGGGCAAAAATATCAAACAATGTTAAGTTTATGTATAGGTTGGGTTAACTTTTCTTACAAAAGGAATGCTGGTTTAAGGTTGTTGCTGTTAACAGTTAATTCCTGATTGTTTTAGAAAATTACAAAATATTTCGGAAATGTTTTTATTACTTCAAATGGGCCTTCATATCTTGGAGTTAAAGAGGGTTGAATCCCATTAATTTTGACAAAATCTAATTTTGAAATGAATTTATGAATGAATGGTTTTTGTTTTGAATGAAAAACTATGTTTACTGGTTTCAAGCAAGAGAATGTTTCTCGTAAACTAGCAATGGATCAGATTCCAAAGGATCTCGATTATTAATAAAAAAAATCTCAGTGGTTGACCATTTACTAGTTCGGCAGATGAACAACCTAGGTCTTCCTTAAGAGATGATGTGAGGCCTAGAAGAACCAAGGGAAGATCATTCCACCTCGTGTTTTTAAAGAACGGTGAAATCTTTCTAAAATTCCGTTGCTTTGGGGATGGAAGCTGGATGTAGGAATTTGATACGTTCCTAAAAGAGTGTGAAATTTTGAAAAAAGGTTTGATAGCGCTAGGAATATCAAATCGGCTGAAATAATGCCGAAACAAAGTATCCGTAATCAGTGTTGTTAAATACCCGGGTATTTATTTTCAAGGGTAAATATCCTGGATATATACCCAGGGGTATTTACCTAAGATGGGTATTTTGAGGTATTTATAAATTTAATTTAAATTGAGTTGATGGCAGTTTTCCAAGGACTTCAAGAACGCAGAGTCGCTTATCGACATACCAAACTTATTTATAACATCTACAAGAATGCTACAATGACGGTAAAATTGCTTGAAAGTACTGAAGAGAGTAAAAGTAGTAAAGTACTGATTGTGAGTAAAACAAGGCGGGACACTGTTGAACTCAAATTGTTCATCACAGTCCTCAGAGTGCATTTAAACAACTGGATTGGACCATATCGTGGACGATATAGTTCTTATATCAGATAGCCTTGGAGAGATTAAACTAATGATGAACGACTTAAAGGAGGTGTGTGCAAGAGTCGTGCTAAATATCAACAAGGAGAAATCAAAATTTATGATAAATCTTGTTCCCAGCTCTAACAACAACATTGGGGATAATGAGATTGAGAGGGTTCACAGCTATGTATATCTTGGCTATGAGGTTCGTATATTGAGAGATAATCAAACAAGCGAACTAAACAGAAGGATCTTAGAGACATCTTCAAGAGAAAAGGCCAAGAAAGGCTTTCAATCAATGCGTATTTCTGGTTATGACATAAGGCTCCGAAACTTTAACATTAACGGTAACCACTGCCAGGAGTGTCCAAGTAGCCCAAAGATAGATGGAGAGGTCGATCCTGGGTCTAACTCTGAGGGACTACATACGAAATGAAGACCTATGAAGAAGAACTGGCGTAAATAATGTGGTCAACATTGTGGCAAAGCTTAAGTGGAACTGGACGGCTCATGTCGTGCGAATGAAGAATGAGCAGTGGACAAAACGGTTGCTTGAGTGAAGACCGCGAGCGAACAGACGAAGTAGACGTCAAAAGAATGACCAACAATTGGATTCAAACAGCACAGAATAGGGAAGGTCTATGTCCAACAATGGACGCAGAGGGCTGCTTGGTGATAATAATCATAATAACTTGATCTAATCTAAATTACGGCAGATTCGTCTAATGATACGTCTTTGATTGTTGACAATTTCTCGTCTTCAACGTCCTCATCGTCTTCCTCTTCATTTTTATTGGAATCGATATATTTTTACTGGTATCACTTTTATACCCACTGTTTGGGTATTTACCCTGGGCCGGGGTAAATACCCGGATAAATACCCATTTTAGAAATACCTACCCGCCGGGTATTTACCCAGCGCCCATCACTGTCCGTAATAGAAGTAGAACAAATATCTTTGAGAGGAAAAGCTTCTAGCCGACGCGTGAAACGATCTATTATGGAGTGAGAGGACCGACCAAATCTATGTGAATATGATTAAATCTTAATTTTGGTAATAGATGATTTTGTGTGTTTGTGAACTTTTGTTTGTTGACATCACAAACAGGTTTTTGTCCATAACTGAATGTGTTTTGTCATGTGAGGCCAAAAGAATCGTGTTTTGATGATGTGTGTAGTAGGTAGCACGAATACCAGGATGTGTTAAGTTGTGAAATTTGTTGAAAGGTCGCACCAAAGCTTTACATCTGAATGTGATGTTGTTTGTTGCGATAGATTATATCTATTAGTTTCTGTGTTTGCGTATTGTTTGTTTAGTAAATGTGTTAATTCTGTATCATTAAATTGTGCGTTTTTTAAAGTTTGTGTGTTAGGGTACTGTGAATTTAGAGAATCAATATTGGTTGTTCTGGACAACCTATCCGCTACAATGTTTGATTTTCCTTTAATGTACCTGAAATCTGATGTGTATTGTAACTAAGATATCGTGTCTGACGTGAGTTTTTTCTGTGGTAGAAAAAATTGTGTTGATTAGTGGTCAGTGTAAACCACAAATTGATGTCAATGCAAAAAATGTTCAATTCTCTATCAAAAGTTGAATAATTTATTTGGCTTAAAGATAATTTTTGAGAAAAAAATGCTAAAGGTTGTATTTTATTGTCTATAGTCTATGATAAAACTGCTCCCATGCCTTTACTTGAGGCGTCTGTGGTCAATGAAAGAGTAGCTTGTAGTGATGGGTGTGCAAAAGTGACGGATTTTGATAAAAGTTCTTTCGCTATAGTGTAAGAAATGTCGTGGTGATCTGTCCAAGAAGTGATTGATATAACTTTTTGTGAATACAGTGTTTTTGATAAATGATGTAAAGAAGTTAAAATGTTTGGCAAAAATCTGTGATAAAAATTTATCATTACTAAAAATATGAAACAATGTTAAGTTTATGTATGGTATTCACATTATGAATTAAAAATATATTAAATTGGTTATTAATTTATTGTTATTAACAAATTACAAACACAAAATATTAACATTTAATTATTTTATCATTTCATTTCATGTTTAAATGCAAATTCATAATGGCACATTGAAAAATGAGACGATTATCCATGAAACGATGATAGTTGTTCTCTAGCTAGAACACTTTCTTGACACTGGCTAAATATTGCAGATGATTGAGGATTTCGATCAGATAGGATATTTTTCGAAACTAAGTACCACTTTTTTTTTTGAAAAGTTTCTCTTTGCAACCGTCATCTTTTAACACTAGCAAAGTTAGCTCTCGAATCCGCTAGTAAAGTACCAGAAGATCTGCAAATGCTACCAGTGAAGCTCTGGTATTGATAAAATTACATATGATACCGTACCACGATATCATTTTTCTTCACACACCTCGCAATCCGCTCTATCACACCTGAAATATAAGGAAAACAGATAAAACCGGCTGGTGTAGTACTTACCGAGTCTTCCCTCCGTTTGCGTAGTTTGGTGCATATTTTTGTCGCATATTCTTTCTGCTCGCTAGAACAAGGCTTGCATCACTAATAAAGGCTTGCATTACTAGTCTCTTCGTGTGTGTCTTCTTCTGATACACTGTCAGTTCCATGCCCCCATCTGCCTTCCTAGTGACCAATACATCTAGGAATGGTAACTGTTTTTGCAGATTGGTAAATTTGATCATGGAGTGTTGTGAGTTTAAGTGGTCTACAAATTCCTCGAGTCGCTCTTTTCCGTGTTGCCAGATCACGAAAGTGTCATCTTTGCACGGATCTTCCTTAACGCTTCCACATCCATGTAGCAATTGGAAAAATTGGTAAAATCTACAGGCATTGCAGCAGAACAACAGAGAAGTTTGTTCGTAGAAGTCCCAGTACTACCAGGAATATATGGTTTACCTAAGATTTATAAACCGAATGTCCCGTTACGACCTATTATTAGTGCCATAAATTCACCTATGCATCAGCTAGCAAAACACCTTGCCAAGATTCTGTCTCCTTTTACAAGAAAAGGGGATACGCAAGTTTATGGAAATAGGTTTATAGCAATTTTTGTACATGTGGAATCATTTAAGGCACAAAGATGAATTCTGAATCTTATTTTATGAGTAGGAAGAAGGGAAAAAGAAGAAACAATAGTTTTGAAAATACAATGCAGTTAAATATTTTGGCGCTGAAATAATCTGTATGTTCCAAGTGAAAAACCATTCTGAATCACAGTTAAGATGCACGTTGCACGAAAGTGATGAGGAATGGTAGTACATTGACTTGTTGAGATCTCCATCATCAAGCGTCTCTTAAACAAGATCAGAATTAAAACATTTTAAGCGTTTAGTGTTTATAAAATTATTTTTAAGGGTTAATATCATAATCCCAATTATTAAGAACAAATAATTACACATTTTCGAAAAAAAAAAAAACTTTATTGAAGTCTGGTTAATTAATAACAACCACAAAAAATAGTAATTATAGAAATATCTACCAAAGATACTGTCTGGTAAAACTCAATTTAGAAACAATTTGAATTAACGTGACTTCTTTAAATACACACCAATAATAATGTTTCGAGTTCGAAGAGACGGAATATTTTATTAATTATAAATTACAAAGTAGGAATGACAAAAAAAAATAATAATAGTAATAATAACAGTAGTAGTATTAAATCGTATCACAAAACAATACCGCAATCATAATTATCGAGTGAGGCGTTCGGTAAAATACGATCTCGTGTTATTAGGAAAGATGAATTGAACGCGTCCGTTTTAATCTTATTCTTTTTTTAATCCTTTCGTTCAAATATCACGCTCATAGTGCAGAATCAAGAGAGAAAACACGCGACGACCTCGACGTCGTGAGCAGCCGTGCGATATCACAAATACAAGGTAAAAACGAAAAAAAATCTACGTTTAAGGTATACATGATTTTCTACATATTTACTTAGTTTCTTTTATAAAATACATCACCAGTCGACCATAGTTAAGGTCTAGGATTAGATTAGAGAAATTATAATAATATAATAATACTTAGAGACTAATACGACGGTTTTTTTTGAATAGTAATCACAGCCGGGACTGTGTCAAGAACTTTTTTATAATAATTTTAGAGTCAATTTTGAAATTTTTTTGTTATTGTTTTATGAAAATAAAAAACGAAATCGAAAGAATATTATCCCGATGAAACAGTACATTAAATAGGAGTTATTACGACGAAAATGACTATCTTATTAACTAGCTCATAAAATTACCAATACCAAAACAAATATTGAGTCAGTGTTTAAGAATATTTATAATAACAGGTAGAATATGAGGATATTTTTAAATTACAATTGTAATTGTACACAAAGATATCTAGGATAATCTTTAAAAATTAGTGATTCTTATCAACAGTTATTTATGTGCTAAGGAGATAATATTAGATATTTCCTGAAACACCAAATATTTTAATTTCAAATATTTCAATATCAGTTTTACGCGATTATTTTAGTTTGCTATATTTTAACACCAAAAATGTTATCTGTCCTACAAAATATTAGAATACAACGATTTTAAGTAATTGTTAACATTTCTATGTACATCTCATTTAGTGATATTTTAAATTATACTGTACATGATTGTGTTTATGGACGTAAGTAATAACGAAAGCATGAAATGATGCAGTAACTTAATTGCCAATGCTATAATCTTTCGTTTTCTTGAACTACTATTTTAAACTAAATTAAATTTTTAGCAAAACTTAAATTTTTTAGACTTAAACAAGGATACTGAAACACGTATTGCTAGAAGAATTAAAAGATTCGAATACGTCTGGAAATAAAATGTCAAAAGATGCTGTTAAAGTGCAAATGATGAAAGTATTGATGAGGATCCGAAGAGCATGAAGGAGATGAACAGTTTAGGAAAGTAGCTCTCAAACGCCCCTCTCTCCAGGCTCAATGTTCAGTGACGTAAAACGAAGTGTGCGAAGGGTGGAGGAACACAAGTTTCCTTAACTTTCCGAGCTCTGATAATAACTTAGGATAGATGTAAGTTCTTAATTGTTTCGATACTTCTTAGCTGATGCTGTAATTGAGGTTCTCATAAATTATGACAAAATGCTATAACAGATAATAATACAGGATGATTTTTTATTTTTTCTGGAAGTTTTGCTCCTTAGCGGTTTTCAATCTTAGAAAATATGTTATTATATAATGTTATTTAAATAAATAAAATCCACATTTTTTCATATACACATAAAAAAACCATGTTTTTACTATTTACTAAAATAAAACAAAAGGTTGTATCAAGTTGTATCAACAAATTTTTTGTATGAATTATGTCAAGTACCCAATACCTAAAAATAACATGAGAAAACAATATAGTCGATGTTCGCTTAACGCATACAATGCGTACCTGAATGCTGTACGTTCCTGCATTTACCGAAGATTTGTTATTATTCGAATGCATTTATGAATCGATTTAAAGATGTGAACATAGATAAGAAAGGGGACAATTACAGCGTACGAACTTCGAAAAGAGAAAAACGATTACAAGTGCAAAAAAGCTCAAAATCATTGGAAAGGCTGAAAGGAGTGAAAAATTGGCTGTAATAGAAACAAATGTAGGGCTAAGTCGATGAACTATTAATACAACAGTGAAAAGTAAAGAAAATATAAAAGCGTACGTACAGTTCAAGAAGTCGTGTTAGTCCTAATGTGATGGAAGAAATGGAACGTCTATTAAAAATTTGGTTGGATTCTCAGATCCAAAGAAATGTTGCCTTGACGGCAAGAGAAAATAGAACAGAGTTGAACTAACGTCAATGTATTTAACGCTAATTGGGGATGGATATCGCCAAAGACGAAAAACGTATGCCTGGATATAAAGCTTCCAAAGATCGAATAAAACTGTTATTAGGTAGCAATGTATGCCTTTAATGATTTTGAATAAAAACCCAAGGGCATTTAAAGACATTTTCAAGTTATTTTTGTTAGTGATTTAGAAGGGCAAACCGAATGACGAAGTCTATTTTTGAAGACTGGTATAAAAATTATTTTGTGCCAGAAGTGAAAAGCTACTGCTCGAAAAATAACTTGGCCTTTAAAGTAATATTACTTCTGGATAATGCCTTTGGGCATCCCACAATGCTAGAAGAGCTATGTTCCTTTATGGAATTAAAAAACATTTCTGCGAGTTGGAGTGAAATTCAAAAATCGGCCATGAAAAATGTGTGGAATACGTTTGACTCCAACTTGTCGGTGATGAGATTGTGTGAGAAAATGTAGAAATGAAGCGATTAGATCTAGAAATAAATAAACAAGATATTGATCAACTAATACAATCCCATGATGCAGAACTTCAGCATTAAAGGGAATAGAACATTAAAGTTGGAAAAGTTAAGTTTACACAGGTGTGTCAAATGGAATATAGCCAATAACTTCGCCATTTGTGGTTTTAAAGAAAAATGTTTCAAATAAAAAATTTTGTATTAATTGTGGTGCATTTTTTGGCTATATTTGCTTGTTTACATTGTTCTTTGTTTCGTTGTTATGGCAACCAACATTATTAATTTAGATGGAATGCATATGTTTTTTTTTGCGTATTTTGCTTGAGGATAAATCCCTCTACGCAATGAATATATCAAATCATATGGTTCTATAAGAACTCTGAAAATATTAAATCAGCAAATTACAATCAAAGTATTCGTCGAAATAACGCCGTTAACAGCATCTTAAAAAATTGACAGTTCAAACAAATATGGCGCAATTAAGAATCCAAATATTAATGATGTATAGGTACGGTGAATGAAAACGCACTCAAAGTGAAGTTTGTACACTGTTCAGTAATATTTACCCGGATACATAAATTACACAATCAAAAACATTAAAAAAATTCTTTAACACTGGAAGTGTTAAAAATCTTTCCAAAAAGTGGACGGCCGAAGACAGCTACCAATGACGAAATTACATTAAATGTGTGTCACCGTAACCATACATTATTAATTATTCATAATTGTTGAAACTGTCATTTTTTGACATTTAAAGTTATCAACGGCGTTATTTCGGCACCTACTTTGATTGTAATTTGCTGATTTAATATTTTCAGAAAACGCGTTTTTTCTCGATTCTTTTCTTATACAACCATATGATTTGATATGTTCATCGCATAAAGGGATTTATCCTCTATCAAAGTGTGCAAAGAAAATATATGCATCCCCTTTAAAATAACAATGTTGGTTGCCATAGCAACGAAATAAAAAACAATACAAACAAACAAATATCGTCAGAAAATGTGTCACGATTAATAAAGAAACTTGTATATGAAACATTTTTCTTTAAAACCACAAATGGCGAAGTTATTGGCTATATTCCAGGCATTTGACACACCCTGTATATTAAAAAAATTGAGAACAGATTTTATAAAATAACTTTATACCAAGAAAAAAGCAGTCTAGTCTTGTTCAAGTAACAATTCATTTCTAACAAAAGATGTTTCTAAAAATAATTAAATATTAATATCAATAACCAAATAGGTCATGAGAGCCACAGAGATGAGAACCTTAAGAACTATTACAGGCTTAACCCTGCGAAACAGCGTAAGAAGCGAGAGAATCTGCGAGACGTGCGAGGTACACGATGTGATCAGATGAACAAGATCAAGGAGAAGATGCTGGAGGGATCATGTTGGAAGGATGGGTGAGGATAGAGAAAATCCAAACGCAAATCCAGACACCAGTCAAGTTTCAGGAAGACCATGAGCATGAGAGTTGGACGTCATTACAAGATAATCCATAGGAACGGAAGTGGAAAAAGGAAACAGGAAGGAAGAGGAGAAATGGAAAAGAACGAGGCTAATTCCTAAGGTAAGAAGAAGAAGTAGAATTAAATATTTCATACCATCATTTTATAATTTTTTTTTGTTTTATTTGAACCTGCTTTACTATTTCTAACTATTTCTTTTATTACAATCAACAATTGACTAAATTGTGATCTTTTCTAGTTGTGGTCATCCTCACTAACGTACATTGTTAGTGAGGATGACGTTGATACTTCATGACTGTATTTAAAATGGATAGCAGATCCTACTCAAGAATTAACAATAACGAGAACAATTGAATTACTACATTAATTATTCATTATGAAACAGTATTCCAGTTTCTTAACATACTCGCTGGGTGTCGGCGGTATAGAAAGCGATTTCTAAAAAAATATGGAATTAAGGACGGTTGCATAATTAATACTTTGGAAGGATTCGAAGATGATAACGAACAGTACGATTAAAGATATTTGGATATTTCGTTCTGTAACCCTTAATGAAGTTTTATTGTCATAATATGATTAATTATAAGACTGCGTTTCTAATTCAAATTTGATTGTAACTCACTTCCATTGTAGGTCACATAAAATTTATAAAATGTATTTTTTAAGTAAATTTCTTATAAGGTGTGAAAGTATTTTTGACGTTGAAAATTTAGTGATCTTTAGTAATCTAAATTTAAAAAAAATGCTAATTTAACGCTGTTATAAAATTAACTTTTTCTAATGATACAAATTTAATATTTGTCTATAATCTATATGTACCAATTTTTAGTTTTTGTACAAATAACACACAAATGGCGCATTATTCCATTTGGTCAAAAATATATTTATGTGAACGTTAAATCTACGTTCATTGCTAAGAGAAGGTGTATAGAATTAAAATAGCTTGCGAGTACGTGACATAATAAATCATACTTTGGCTCTTGTAATGAAATGTGAAAATTTCTTATAAAAATATGTTTTGTCTTTGGCACCACAACTTTACCAATAAAACTTTTTGGAGGTGTAATACTTTAGTTTTTATGTTTTTAACAATCAAATACATCCTAGAAGACAACATTGTTTAGCGATCAATATTTTCAAAAACGTACGCATGAAATCTATAAGAACTTAATGGTTATATTTAACTACTAAAGTTCTTCAAGGTGGTATAAGATGTTTTATTGACAAATAATGAAATCGTTGTATTCTTCTTTTTGTAGTAACATTAAAGAGTTAATCAAATATTTAACCCAAATAATAATAACCAATATTCAAAAAAATATCCTCATATTCAATCCCAACATTGTTCGAAAAGACCAAATAAACAAAACAAATAAAATAAAGAGTAAATTAAATAATAGAGGAAATATGGAATGTAACTAGTTTTTGGAATGTATTCGGTTGGTTTTTAACACGTAAAAACGAAAATAAAATAATAATAAAAATAAAAAAAAACCTTTCGAATCCCTGATTAGAAGGTCAAACGGTGCCCTCGAGTTTTAACTGCCGTTTCCGGTGATGATACATGTGGACTCGCAAACAGCTCTTGTTGCGCATGGCCTTGCCGCAAATGATGCACTCGAGATTCGCGTCACTTGTATCGTGTTTATCCCTGATGTGGATTTTCAAATTGTATCGATTAACGAATTTTCGATAACAATACGGACAGAAGACGTGTTGTTTGGAATCCATTGAAAATCGCGCGTTTGCATCTGAAATGAAAAACGATTCGAACGGTGTTGTATTACGTTATATTGTTGTTAAATCCATATACAATGATTTAAGAGTAGTATGCAGTATAGAAATAGTTATTTATTAAAGCAGAAAAAGTAATCAGAACAAAACCTTAAGAAATAAATGGCATAATTGTATTAATTCTATTGTAATGAAGAATAAATATATAATTATAAAAATCATATCGACTAATATTAAATACAAATTATGGACACTTAAAAAAATGTGTAGTATTAGTTGTATTCCATAGAAGTATGATTAGTTTAGTACACACGATGAAACTACAATATCTAACATCCCAGTTAAATTTTCTATTTTAGGTTCAGTTGGTTTTTATTGGTTCAATACCGCAAATGGTAATGATTTCTACTTGGGGATCATTTTTAATCATATCTAATCTCTGCTTCATGATCTTTACCGCTAAATCACTTCCTAGTGATGTCAACCTAATTCAATCGGTATTTCTCGTACTATATTGAATAGATTCAAACATACAATGTAGGTATATATTCTAACACAACATACTCATATGTCAAAATCAAATTTACTAGTAAAATATACACCAAGTAATGAGCAAGAACACTCACGAATTAATGTATTCGCGTTATTTATATCTCTCTTAACGGCATTATAACAAAAAAATATAATTGGTTTCAAAACAAACCGGTGTAAATTAATATATAAGCTAAATTAATTTTTTTTTGATGAACCATTGGAGTAAACGATGGTAGAACTCCGAGATACTTCTAGAAACCAAATGGAATATTAGAAATACCTAAAACCATAGTAGTGGGAAAGCATAACTAAGAAACATACGTAATTAAAATTAGATTATACGTAATTAGATTAACTATAAAAATAATAGTCTGCAAATTGAGTCAACATGCAAACAGAAGATTTACGCGAACACTTATCCCCATATCGTTTCGCCTCAATTTTAATGAAAATCATGCAACAATTGAGAATGAAACTTAGGTTGGGGTGCATTAAACGTAGTAAAGATGATTTTGCATCAGGTTTATGTTATTACAACGAATGCGTTGTCTTGACATTAATCATAAAAGAAAACTCTATTGTTGGTCATGTTATTCAAGTATATGTATATTTGATTATGAAAGGCACCACGAAAGTATTGATTATCAATTTTTCTGTCAATGAATTGATTGGCAGAACAATGACATTATGAGAATGTGGCAGAGTTGAAATTATATGGAATATAAGAATTATAGTCCACAGTGTAAGGAACATTTCTCTTAATCAAACGCAAATAACACAGAGATCTTAGCCAAAATCTATCAAACTCTGTGGATACTACTTTTGAGTTGTATCTCTTCATCACCATGAATCAGGCATTATAGTGTAATTACAGATGAATTTGCTATACAAATGCAAACGTTACNAAGTAATGAGCAAGAACGCTCACGAATGTATTCGCGTTATTTATATCTCTCTTAATGGCATTATAACAAAAAAATATAATTGGTTTCAAAACAAACCAAATACATATTTTTTTTCATATAATTCGTTTATGTTAATTTACAGTGTAAATTAATATATAAATGGAATTAATTTTTTTTTTTGATGAAGTACCATCGAAGTAAACGATGGTGGAACTCCGAAATACTTTTAGAAATCAAACGGAATGTTAGAAATACCTAAAACCATAGTAGTAGGTAAACTTAACTAAGAAACATACTTAACTAATTAAAAGTAGTAAACGTTTGGAAAAATAATAGTCTACAAATTGAGTCAACATGCAAGCAGAAGATTTACGCTAACACTTGTCCGCATATCGTTTCGCTCAATTTTAATGAAAATCATGTAAATACATCATGCTTATACGTATTTTATTTGACACTCTATCGAAGAATACTGTTATATAACATCTGAAATATTAGAGGAATCCTAGATAACAATTGAAGTCATCCTCCTTGAGAATAAAACTTAGGTTTGATGTATTAAAGATGATTTTGCATTAGGCTTATGTTCTAAAGGTAGATAGATTGAAAAATGTCTGCATTTGGATGACTAAAAATGGCGCATTAACCTCCCGTAAAAGTTCTAAGAATTAAGCAAACTACTACAAATCAATCTTTATAACAACATCATATAAGTAACACCGCGTCGACCACTTAAATATGTGATTCTACAAACGAAACAACGTTGGACATCAGAATCTAACTTTTTTGTAGACTTCCTTAACGATCTATATGTACAGCAGATTAGGAGTTCCAAAACGAACTCCTAAGTGTTAAGTATAGTGAGTATTACAACGAATGCGTTGTCTAAACATCAACCATAAAAGAAAACCCTGCTGTTAGTCATGTTATTCTAGTCAAATATATATTGGACTATGAAAGGCACCAGGGAAGTATTGACTATCAATTTTTCTGTCAATATGTATGATGATTGGCAAAACCATGGCATTATGAGAATGTGGCAGAGATAAAATTATATGGAATGAATTTAACCACAATACCTTAGTCCAGTGTAACAGTTACGGTGACAGGAACATTTCTCTTACAATTAATCAAACGCAAATGACACAGAGACTTTAGTCAAAATGTATCAATCTCTGTGGATACTACTTTTGAGTTGTATCTCTTCATCACCCTGAATCAGGCATTATAGTGTAATTACTAATTACAGATGTATTTGCTATACAAATACAAAGATTACACCATCGTAATTAAGATTGAACAAATTCAGGTCCATAGAACATTTGTTACACAACAAATACTATTTGTACACACGGACACCAAACAATATTAAGGGAGTGAGAGAGACGATATTGAGGAGCACGTCTGCTCGCAAACATGCTATCAGGATGAGGATCAGTTGGGTGAAGCGCCTATTTAAAATCCCATCTTCTTAAATTAGTTATTCTTCAAGAGTTAGAGTATTCAAGACTATTTATAATTCTCAGAGGGTATGTTGAATTATTGAGTTAATAACGGCGTGTCGATCATGATGATATAACTACAGATATAGACCCATTGATAAAGCCCAAAATTGCATGAACGATCTCGGCATAGCCCTCGAGTGATGTTCTGGTATGCTGTTACCTCATTTAGTGATCGGTCTTTATTTTTGGAAAAAATTGCTACAGAGTTTGGGAATAGACATTAGGAGTTAATGATTCCATCAAGATGTGGGTTACTTAACGAGCGGGATATTAAGTAGACTTCTGGAATTCTTTCCTAAACGAATTGTCTCACTTTTTTAGTATTTATAAAAATAAGATGTGTTGAAAATAATTGAAAGTTGATCGACTATTTTTTATTTTAAAATTATGCCAGAAGATTTAACATACAAAGTATTAGACCAGGCAGCTAAAAAGTCTACCACGATACGTAAAAAGAGTTCGTTGTCCAAATATTAAGAAACAAAATGAGAATATTAGTACTGCTTTGGCAACAATAATTCTCTTAACAGAATAACCATGAATTTCTCAGCTTTGGTTACATAAATACATGTTTTGTATTAATGCGTCATTATAAAACTTTGATTCTTTTATATCGATTTAAACTGAAATATTCTATAATATATGATTTTCGTTTGATACACACTACTATTAAATCATCTATATCTCAACAACAATAACCTTTTACCAAAAATGCTACTTCATGTACACAAAAATAATTATAGGGTTTTGTTACAATTTTGTTACATACATTGCTATGTGTTAAAGAAATTAAGAAAAGCTTAAGTAATAGTAAAGATATCATAATAATTATGAAATTATCTTATTAAAAACAAAAAATAAAAAAATCATAACATTATATAGAATATATAGGAATACTTGGATTTTTTGTTAGTAACTCTCTCCTTCTCAAATTGCGAAGTATTTTACACAATTTATATTGCTTATAAATATATACCTCACCAAGAAACCTAAGAGGTAAGCCATTTAAAACCTGCAACTGCCGCATTTTTTCTAAATTTTTATTAATTAATATCATAAAAACTAATTAACCAATATTTGATTGTGGGTTATCATTGGATTCGTATATTCTATGATAAATTATTTGGATTAACAAAAAAATCGACATGTTTCGGCTCATGACATCTCGAAGTGTTTTCAAATTAGTTAGGGGAGGGTGCATTTATAATGGTGCTGTATACAGTGAATTTCACTTAAAATGCAATAAACCAAAATATAGTTCCATAGAAACTAGGGCGTACCTGCGTACTTTGTCCCACATAAAATGTAACATGTTTGAATGTTTCTAGTTCTAGTGACAGTAGTAGGTAGCGCTAGTTAACATAAAATATCCCTATGTTGCATATTTGTATTGAATTAAAACTAGAACTAACACTAGACCTAGAACTACAATTATTAACTCGAATGTTTCTAGTTCTTGGCCTAGTGTTAGTTCTAGTTTTACATTATCACTAGAACTAACACAAGACCTAAAACTAGAATCATTCCGGTTTAGCCGTCTTGAGAAACGTGTGGCTAAACTCGAATGTTTCTAGTTCTGACGTCACCTTTTTCCAAGCAAATCTTTTCCTTTGCAAAACTATCCAATGCCTGTACTATTAAGCTATGTTGCATGTAATGTGGGACAGTACAAGTGCATACTAGTTTCGTAATTATGGTTAATACCTTCATATTTTGCGAGTTATATGAAATTCCCGGTATACCACAGCCTTTAAAAGCATCTTAGGCCCACTTTTACCATCCTCCTGATAAACTATCTAGAGGATAGTTGCTATGGTTACGGCGGTTTTAAGCGCTCTCATTTGCTAAGAGCTGGATTTATCTATCGGATAAATTTATCAGGAGGTGGTAAAAGTGGGCTTTAATCATCTTGTATGGAAATTAAACTTAGCAGTTAACAAAGAATATCGAACACAGACTATTACCGCTGGAGATGGTTTACTGTGGAATACCAGTTAGGATATCAAGAATAAATAGTGTAAGAAACGAAAGAATGTGGGAAATAATAAAAGTGGATAAAAGAATAATAGATTA